TGATTTATAGGGCAGATGATGTAAAGAGCATCTATTTATGGCCAATGGTTAAGAGGATACCTAATTAGAGTTGGGAGGACTCACAGGCACCCTAAACATTCTGGAATTCAAATTCCTAGTCTCTACCATAATTCAAACCCAAGACACCTTGGTTAGGAAGCCAAGTGCTTTAACACTCAGCAACAATGCCCCTAAAGTAAAAAAAAACTCAAAAATGGATATTGAACTAATGTTTTTGACACTATCTGCTCTATGTAACAACATTAGACCAGCGGGCATTAAACAATGTTATACTATTTAATAAATTACTCAGAAAAAATTAAAGTCCTCAAAAATATAAAAACAAATGTAGGCCCTATTTCAATATGTAGCAATAAATGTAAATTGTATATATTTGAGTAATTTTATTTATTTATTTTTTTTTTTTTTTCTGGTTTTAAAGATTTTTATAGATTTTGATTCTTTGCTATACAAACTATATGCAAATATGTTGATGTTTCGATCTCATAATCTGAATAAAAATTTTATTTCTGCGCTCTGTAAATAAAATTATTTTAATTTTAAAATGCAAAAAGAGCTGACAAGACTTCACTACTCTGATAATGAAAACCTTTACATTTTATAAACATGCAAGTGGTAATGTTTAAAAATGTATAATAACATAGCATAATATGTATAACAGTGGTGATATTTATGTGATTTCAATTTTGTATATTATATTTCATTATGTTACCATCAAGTTTACAAACTAATTATCCTTATTAGATTCTGTGCCTTTGTGATATGTATTATCTGCTTAATCTGGGCAAATTGAATATAATTTGAAATGTCTTTTTCTGATTATAACAAAAACTGTTTTGTGATTCATTATAGATTCATTTAATAGCTGATAAAATTTATAACATTTTTAATTTGATGGTATGTTTAAAAAAGTTTTTTTTTCTTTTGGATAATTAATCACAATGTGCTAAGTAGGCATATTTTTTCTTTTTTTTGAAGCTAATTGACTCAGAAAATAAAATATTAAATAAATTAAGTTGCCAGGAATTCCAAAAAACAGGACAGATAACCCTGGGCACTAGTAGAACTCTAAGAATGAACTAATCCTTCTGTACATCAAGCTGAATGATAACTTAATTAATGACTTTACATTTAACATATGAATACTGAGAATAATTTTTTTCATATATTTTTTTATTTATTCAATATCACTCTACTAATAAGGGATGCCTTTCAAAAAGTTTTCACTAATGGAACAAATGTCTTTATTTTTTATAGTTATGTTTATATATGGCTATAATATGAAGATGAGGGCTTTTTGTTAAATCACACCTTATGATTTTAAGCTTAATTTTTTAGATATTAATCTATATTTATTAGTATCCTTTCCAGACCTTGCAATCTATGACACAGATGATTTAAACTTATCTGTTTCTATGGCAGACTTTTAACCAATCGCCTTTGCTTCCTCAATGTATGTACCCATTAGAGTTGAGTGGACTCAGGCATGTCCTAAAAGTCCCAATATTTAAAACCCCAGCCTGAGATGAGAGTCGAACTCATGACCCCTCCATTCTGAAGCAAAACACATTACCACTCATCCTCCACCCCACCAATTTGTATTATACTTTAAAATATATATTTTAAAAAATTACTAACATATTTTAAAGGTGACTACGTAGCTTACTGTTTCATAGCATCTTCAATTTATTTATTTTTGATGACAGTGGAGTGATTATAACATTTACAATCTGTTAAGTTTTTATTTCACCACTTCTCCATAATTTTTTTCCTTTAACAAATTTTGAAAAGCCCATAGTAACATCGGGTAAAATCATACTGCAGGCTAGCATTAACACTCTAAATAATGTGATTAATTTTTAAAAAATCTGATATGCACTAGAAGTGTTTAGATTATAATTTTTTTTAACTGAATATCACTTTCTCAAATGTTTATTTTGTCAGCTAAAATACTCTAAAGCAATATATTAAGCTTTTCTAACAATAAATTGGTAAAGTTTAAAAAAAACAACTACTTTTATTGCTAATAAGCTAAAATGCAACTTTTTCTCATTTTAAATAAAGATAAAAGTGATTAAAGAAGAAAGAAAAATTAAGAGAAAAACTGTGATGTAAATAAAGTATTAAAAATGTGGATAGGACTGACTTAAATTTGTGTTTAGAACACATAATCAGATTAGCAAGAGTATGTAAATACACATTTTAAAATATTTTTGTGTGGAACTTAAGGAGTTTTATTGTGTTCATCATTAAGAAATCTTATAAACTGTTGCCACGTAGAATTCAATATTTTATGATTCTGCACTTTATGCAAACTGATCTGCAATTTTCCTTTGTTATAAAGCAAATTACCTCTGATTCATTTATATTTATTGATATATTTAATGCATTTGTGTACAGTGCAGAGAAAGGAATTATGTAAATAATTATAGGTCAGGTCTCTCCCTCTCTTTTTAAAACAGGTAAATGTTTTTTTTTTTTTTTGTATTATTTTTAAACATTATTTTATTGATAGATATCAGTAACAAATATAATGTAAATATAAACTGTTTTAGAGAACATAGTCAACATTGATCAAATAAATCCAATTTTTAATGTTGTATGAAAATTTTTTTTCTGCCACTTAATAAATTAGGGATTAGATTAAAGTTGTTTTAACAAGCAATATTTAAATAAAATTCCTACCTTATGATCAAACATAGTAAATAAAGATTGTGTTTGACCTTTTTTCATGTGGGGGGTGGCCAAATGCCTAGCGCTAAGAAAATAAGATTTAGTTAGTGTAGGCTAAATTAAATGGGAGTTTTTCTTGAAAGACTCAAAGAGAGACTTTTATTGATGTTTGTATTAGTCTTGTAATTAGCAGCTGCACTGAACACAATTATGTGCTCAGAATAGTTTCCTTTAGAGTGACCCTCTTCAGAAATGTATATTATAAACAAAATAAAAAAATAATATATAAAGAACATTTATAATTATTCTAATGTCAAATGGTAAGTTAAAACTGTTGTAATTCACCTATTCAAAGGAGGAAGTATTTGAGATTTAATTTCTTGGGAAATAAAATTCTTAATACTTTTTATAAAGTAATTTTGTGCATGTGTTGAGAATTTAGATCTGTAATTCTTCCAATTCAATATAGTAATAAAGTTAATTTTTACTAGTCTCTCAGTCCTATACCATAGAAAGAAATGTTCAAAGTTGTGTTTACATAAAAAAAAGGATAATGTTCAGGTCAGGTTCACGAATTGATGACTATTTAAAAACATGCTTTATAACTAAGACTTGACTTGTATTTTGTCTATCATGAAGATCAACCAATATGCTAACAAAATTGATATTTATTTGAAAGCATATGCAAAACAAAATACAGACAAAACTGCAACATTCCAAAATGTATTTGTCATTGGAAGTGTTAATAAACTATTTCAACTATTTGAATTCTGTTGTACATTTGTGATGATAGATAGTGCATAAAGAAAGAGATGGACTAACTAAGGTAAATGAACTAGGAAAGAGAATGACTAGCTGGGGTTCATGAACTATGCATGACTAACTGGGGTTCATAAACCAAAGAAGATGACTAGTTGAGGTACATGAACTAAGCATGACAAGCTGGGGTTTATGAACTAAGTATGATCAGCTGGGGTTCATGAACTAAGAATGACTAGCTGGGGTTTATGAACTAAGCATGACTAGCTGGGGGTTTATAAACAAAGCAAGAAGATGACTAGCTGGGGTACATGAACTTAGAAAGAAAATGACTAGCTGGTGTTTATAAACTAAACTGTCTAGCTGAAGTACATAAACATGGACTAAGAAAGAAGATGACTAGCTGTAGCATTTTGAGTATATGTCAAAGTTCATGTTGCTGGATGAGCCAGAGTCCGCTAGACCTTATGATGTGCCCAAGCACTGGGATATGATACTATGATGATTTAATATTTTCTGATCTTTTATTTTCCTTAAGGAGTTGGCAGCCAGGTCTGTAGTAAATTTCAGCTAATTTATTGTATTTTAAAAGAAAACAGAAAAATCCCTTTAAACAAATTTCCAGATGATTGCCCAGAACAGGTGTATGATAGACCTACTTTATGTCATACTCGTGACGGTACAACCAGGGATGGGGTGAGAACATGTCTCAATAGTTCCATCTTGTGCCTAACGCAAATACTCCAAATCTTCTGTCTTCTTGTTTGGAAAGAGAATTAAGAAATGCTGTCACTTGCCAAGTATATGGATGTCTGCTTGAGGGTGAAGAAAAGCAAAACTCACATTGATCTTCTACCAATTCTTTTGTGAGTTTTATTTTATTTTCTAAATGAAAGAATAGGCATTTTTTGTTGCATTAGCTTTGAACAGAATAAAACTGTTGAAAACATTTTCTCTGCTTATGATGCTTAGAAAAATGTTCTTAGTCAATCCATTTTTTTAATCAGAAAGTAGCACATAAAGTTGGACATTTAATTAAAATCCAGCCCTAATTATATTATTAACTGGATGGGACATTGGACCAGAGCGGGAAAAATCAAAATGACTGTATAAGAGTTAACTTTTTGTGGGTGATATAGACAGAATTTACTTGTAGCTAGAAAAAAATAAAACCTATAAAATCCACAAATACCAAAAACGTGCAGATGTTTATCTAGCTGATGTCCCTTAAAAAAAAAGTTGCATGCTTTTGTAAAAGATATTTTTTTCCCCACTTAAAAATTGGCTGCTGTGGGAGGGATGTTTGCAGCCTCAGCCTAAAACACAGGGACATTGCCTCACAGACAGACCTACTAGCATAACAGTATTTACAGGACATCCCTGATTTATGTGATGCAAGAACTTGAAAAAGAGAAATAGAAAGCTAATCTCTTGCTGACAGAAGAATATAGTGACCAGTGCACTATAATTGATAATTAGATCATTCAATTTTAGACTTTCACCCAGTAAACTGAAATTTCTGAAAAAAAAAACAACAAAAAAAACAATTCAACTCAATATTGTATTTTGATCTGGGTCATCATAACACTCAAACTTTGTAAAGCTCAGTTAAAAAAGACATAACAGTAAAAATTTGTCAGGGGCTATAAATAGTTTAGATGTCTAAATAAGTTTTTTGGGTTTAAAATGTGTTACTGAAAAATAGAATGAGATATTTGCTGACCATGTTTGGTATCCCAATGGGAATGAATAGTATTTCCACTGATAATAAGCATCTATGGGGGCAGATGATGTGAAGTTCATCTATTTTTATGGCTGACAATTAACTAGGGTATCATGTGGTCAGCACAAGACCAATCACCTTTCCTTTCCCTAACTAATTTCAGGTAACCATTTTTGGTTGGAGTCAATGGCATCCAAACCCCCCCCCCCTGAAGTTCAAAATCCCAGTCTTCACTAAGATTATAACAAGGACCCTTCGTTCAGAAGCTAAGTGCTTCACCACTCAACCACCAAATAGCTGTGCAAACATATCAAGCTGAAGGTCCAGAAGTGTTAAGTGTTTGTGTAGAATTAATCAAATAAACTTCAATTTGTTTTCACTTGGTTGGTTTGGAATTAGTTGATGTTGTTCTATCATATTTGAAGGCATGTCACAATTAGCGAATTAAACACTGAATGCCATCACTAATAGTCATAACAAAAAACCAAATAGAAAACACAAATCTACAACTAAAAAAAAAAGTTAAAAACCATGTTTAAAACTTTAATGATCTGTATTGGAAACAAAATTCACATATTCAAAAGCTTTTCTACAACCAGAAGAAAATAGATTCAATATAACAAACAAAACTGGATTAGCGTTAGCAAGAAAAAGGACACAGTACAAGCTAGTAAGGAGAAATATCTGAAACAAACAAAACTATTGGTTGAAAATGCCATGATCAGTAGAACTACAAGTAGCTTTTCTTAGCTAGTTATGGAGATGAGGGACAGAACCTATATAGTTACAACATATAAACAAGACATTTATCTATACAGCTGACTGATTTCATTAGACTAGATTGACAACAGCCATTTGATCTGGATGGACTTGGGTCAATGGATGAAAGGAAGGATTACTTGATACTGAAGCAAAACTAGTTTCCTCTTAGTTTTCTCATTCACCTCAAACAGACTTGACATTCTCTTCAACACATTGGTCTCAAAGTCAAACTAAAAGCCAAGCACTGTACATTACTAGCCACACAAGAAATATACTATCAGCACAAGTTTTTAAATATTGAAAATAAAATGCACTAAATATACTTCTTATAAAACTAAACATATTATCCTAAAATCTATTAATTTTAGATCTTAATTATTATAATGACCTAAATGTACAAATTTTATTAAATAAAAAAAAAATGATAAAGGTGCAATATCAGCTATAAGAAACACATATTATCCTAAAATCTATTAATTTTAGAATTTAATTATTATAATGACCTAAATGTAAAAATTTTATTAAATAAAAAAAAATGATGAAGGTGCAATATCTGCTATAAGAAACACATATCATCCTAAAATCTATTCATTTTCTATTTCAATTTTCACAATGCTCTAAATGTTAATTCTATCATTAAAAAAAATGAAGGTACAGTATTTGTTGTATAAGAAATCTAACCCACAAACTTTAACTCTCAGAAAAATTGGTTTGGGTTGGCCTTAAATCTAAAGGAAATATTTGTTATTTACATTTCAGACAATTAGCATGACAAACTGTTACAACCAAATATTGTTTACTATTCTATGTCAAAATGCCACAGCTACAATGATTATTTTAAATAAGATCTCAATGCCACAGCTACAATGTCCAATTTGTAACCAAGACTAGGACCCCAAAAAAATGTAATAATAAATCTGTCAAGGAACACATCTGAAAGAACAAGGTTACATACAGCGTACAATAAACATACAAACGTGAGACCAGTTCCAAATAAATAATATCTTTTGATTGAATGCTGAAGACAATGTCATCATGGCACAAGATCTTTCCTTACAAAGTCAGTCAATGCCTTGCACACACATTTATCAACTCAACAAAAACATATATTGGAGTAATAAGATCTTTCCAAAATCAACAATGCTTCGCTTTAAGCTTTGTAGTTGATATATTTTTCCAATGTCCACATTTTATTTGTTAGCTAGTGATGAACTAAATTTTTCTATTTTTTAAGCAGAATTGCCAGATGTTTGGGGACAATTGTTGAGCACATTCACACACGGACTTTTCCCAAATGATGCTGTTTTAACCACAAAAACAATACCTCAGATAAAAAAGTGTGACCTTTGAAATACACAGTATCCTTTTTTTTTCTAAAATTAGCTATAAGAGTCTCATGTTTAAATCATAAAAAAAGGTCAACATACATTTGAAAAAAAGATACAAGTATAATCATAAATGAAAACAAAAGGCTTGAAGCAGGATGATGAAAAAAAAAAAAACAGAACAAAAAATATGCAACTTGATTTCAATGTAGAATCAAATGAGCATCAACAAATGTATGGATTTTAAAAAAATCAATCACAGTCATAGTTTGTGACTATGTACACTGGAAAAAATTTATACACGCAAGACACAGCTGGATTTCGGACAACTCTGAAATTTAAATGATCCTTAGAAACAGACTTTTATTTCAAACACATTTGAGATGTGAAGTTTTTATGCGTCACACTGTTAAAAAATGAAGCTGTCAACATATAAATTTAGAATAATATAGGTACAATTCTTTTGATTCTTAAAGCCATTAAAACTACTGACACAAATTTTAATGCTCAAAGTGAGCATCGTTATGGTCAAAAGTGGATATCAATATAGTGAAACAGAACTATCTCAGCAAGAAGTGAATACACTGTTGACATTGGCCAACAGTTGCAGTACTTCTAGCCACTAAAAAGTGCTCTAGATGACACTATTTACTCAAGCACATTGACCTATGTGTTTGACATAAAAAGAAAAAGATCAGTTGGTACAAGCAGCGCAGCGGCTCTTGGTATCAGAAGTGTTGGATACTAATGTATACGTTTTGGCTGGCAGTAATACTTCAGTATGTGATCAATACCTCTCATAGAACAACATGTAGGCTTCAGAGGACAGAACTTGTTGTAATGAGACTCTAGTCACAGTGGAATCTGATGTCAGCCACCATTTATTCCCCATGTCCCCAGCACCGATTGCTTGGTTCCCATTCTCTCCAGAGTGGATCCCGCGCCTGTACGCCACGTAATGACCTAGTTGGACATCTCCAAGGTGGCACACCACAGCTGCCAACTTATAGGAGAAGTCGGTAGATCCAGATTTAGCTATCTCAGGTGGTGCATTATGGTTGACATCACTGAGTTCTCTAGGTATCTGGGGAGATCTATCTGGGTGGACAAACAAACCAGTGCGAGTGAACTGCTGGTCATAATTCAGTGTCCTCAGCAGGTTGACTGGGGCAGATGTGGGCGCTGCTGCTGGTTTGACAGTTTGGCTGTAAAAAAAAATTTTAAAAATGCAATATACTGATTCAACTCACAATTTAAAAAAAATGTCCATTTGTAAATGCTTGATGGAAACCACTAAGACATAGTTCAAGTAGGAACTTTGTTTTTCTTCAAGATGCTACAAGTAAAACTATTACATCTGATAGAAAATGCTATAATGTTAGAGACATTGTCAACTTCAGTCTGAGACACAGCTGCCAGCTTATATTACAGATCAAATTTTATTTAGCAGGGTAGGCAACCTTATGCTGTTGACAAAACTCTAGAATGGGATTGTAGTTTTGTCATGTCATTTCTATTCTAGAACTCTGAAGAAAAATAAATGCTTCAACTACTTTACCACTTTTACTTACAATATTTTCATTTCAGGTAGCTTCGGTTTTCCAAACTTTTTTTTTGACAGAATTTGTGGAGAATGTCTGTGACTAGTGACAAGAAACTAGTTGACTTAAAAGTGATTGCTAACTATAGGTCACTCTAAGACAATCTACATTAAAACTTTGCAGATTCTTTATGTTGGTGTAGGTTGTGGGGTAGTTACCTCAACATTTTTAATGTAGCATCCACACCTCCAGACAGGCCACGAATCTCGTCACCTTTTTCTTTCCCTTGATTGCAGTACAAATATTGGTCCATGTGAAGTGTCTCTGGAAAACTGACGTGATCATAACGTTTGAGCAGAGCTCCATTGTCTAGCCACTGTGTACGAGGCAAGTGAATACACAATACTTGTGGAAGCTAAAAAATATAAGTGAAACACGTCTATAACAGCAATAAAATGATACCCAATAGTGGCTCACTGTTTATTTACGTCACCTCTACCTCCAATATGTGGATGTAACCAAATGGGGTCTCAAAGCAGTGGGTATCAACGCTGACTAATGACAAAGCCCTAGACCACACTAAGTGTAAAGAGAAATCAATGGACAGCGATAAAGCAATGACCTCAGCTCTCGAAGAAAAGTGAGCTGAATTTTTAAAAAAATGCCTTGACCCTAAAGCAAATGCCACCTGTGTTGCATATGGACAGGAATGTCTCCACTAAATGGCTCAATATAATCCCATGAAAAAGTGCTTCAGGAGATGAACTTAGTCATTCTAAAACTGAAGGAGAACAACAATGCCCAACATGTGACAAAGATAAGCCAGATTCTGGTGTACAGATTTCAACAAAGCACAAGAAGTTACAATCCACTGTGAACCAACAAACTAGACATAGGATTTTTTTAGAACCACATCAGATGATAACTGAAGGCATCATTGAACAAGTGATGACTGGAGATAGACAAATCCTGGCCAAACACAAAATTGGCTAAAAAAAAACAAAACAATCAGCCTGACAGTATATAAGCCAGACCAGGTATTCAGGGCTAAATGAAAGAAATTAAGAGACTTGAGTACTTTGAAACCTAAAATCTTAAGACTGTGGCTGTCAACCAACTCCCATGTTAAAGGAAAAAGAAAAAGGGTTTGCTTTTTTTTTTAAATGTCATATTGTATTAATTACATTTTTCTGTTTCTGTTTAAGTGAAGCCCCATTTTAATTCTAATATATAAATATGCATGGAAAGAGGCATTGGGGTAGAGGAAGTGCTGGACTAGTCTAACAAGATTTTCCTAGATGTTCTTTGGCCAGCTTGCTGAAAATCCTGCATCCATGATTAATTTGTCCAGTTTAAAATTTAAGTTTGAGAATATTTTTTATGCATTGATTGTCCAATCATGAAGTCAGACCAACTTTGACTGCATAATTTCCAGATGAAATTAGATCTTCTAAAAAAAATAAAATCATTATCAGATCAAGATTTTAAAAACACAGAACTAGTAAATGTTGGACAATATTTTACAGACTTACCTTTCCTATAGACACTCTCTTCCTAAAGTTTGATTTGACAACCTGACATTTGGCTATTTTCGCGCATCCTTTACAATCTACTGACTGCACAATTTCTGGACTTACAAACTGATGCAGTAGACTTTCTAAGCTCAATGCTCCCTGACAGAAAAAAACAAACTTGGAACTGATTTCAAACTTGGGACTAATTTCAACACACACAGTGATAAACATTGATGGACAAAAAAAAACAACAACACACACAATAAAAAAACAACAGAATTTCATTTTGAATGCATTTAGTTTAGAACAGAAAAAAACTACTTAGGGTATAAAACATATAAAAAACTACTTAAGTTGTAAAATCCTAGAACACATAATATGTAGCAACATCATAAAACCACTTAGACAAACAAAATGTCCTCACACCATACCAACATGGCTTTAAAAAATATAGATCATGTGAAACACAACTAATAGGACTAATTGATGATTTTTCTAAAGGTTTAGATAATAGTGAACAAATAGATGCTATCTTACTAGATTTTTCTAAGGCTTTTGACAAAGTTCACCACCATAGTTTGCTTAAAAAATTAAAATATTTTGGCATTAATTGTCCGCTGCATCAGTGGATTAAAGATTTTCTGATAGGGAGAGAACAAACTGTAACAATAAATGGCTCTAAATCAACACCGATAACAGTAAACTCAGGTGTACCTCAAGGAACAGTCTTGGGTCCACTACTATTTTTAATTTACATAAATGATTTACCAAATTGCATTACTTCAGGAACAAAAGTCAGATGATTTGCAGACGATTGCATAATATATAGAACAATAAAAACAACACAAGACACAGATATTTTACAAAGAGAATTAGATGAATTACAGAAATGGGAATCAAATTGGAACATGTCTTTCCACCCAGAAAAATGTCAGTTGTTAAGAGTAACAAAAAAACTAAAACAAATTAATTCCACTTATCTTATTCATGGCAAACCAGTAACACAGACTAAAACGCAAAATACCTAGGTATTATAATAAATGAAAAACTGTCATGGAATCCACATATTGATGAAACTATAAAAAAATCAAACAAAGCATTAGGATTTATTAAAAGAAATTTCTATAAATCAAATAAGAACATAAAACTAAAATGTTATTTAACCTTGGTTAGGCTAATAATAGAATATGCATCCTCCGTTTGGGACCCC